GCTTCGCACCAGCTTTAAGACCCCTTCGTAGCCGTTACAGGGGCCAACCGAAGTCGGAAGTGCACTCTCAGTACAGGAACACTGTTAAAAGCAAACCTCGATACAATGGCTTACCAACTTCTGGCTTGCCACTTAAGCTACTCAGGCCACTCCATGAAACAGAACTTACTACCTGACACGAGCAAAGCTGTGCAAGGGGAGATCAGTAGTTCATAAAGCTGCAGTGACTCAAGGGCTTTTGACCATCCATACCCATAATTTCACTGTGTAACTGAGAACACAGGAGCAATTCCCCTCCAACACAAACTATTCTATAATTCTATGATAATTCTCACCATAAGCTGACTTTCAAGCAACTTGCTTAAGCACTTGAAAAGTCCTCAGTGCAAATACTTTTTTTGAGTAATCAAGCATATTTCTCCATGTACAGAAGTGTATTTTTGTGTGTCTGGCTCATAAATACCAAGCAGCCGTTGTTTCCCCAAGCACAAACTGAAAAAGTTTCCCCTTGCCAAAAAATCCGTTCAGAATGACGCATCAAGACATTAAAGTCACTCACCGAGTTTCAAACAATGCCAGCATCTTTGCAGGTCCTCGCTTCCAGGTCCTTGTTAACTCTTCAAGCAGTATCAGCACAACAGGTAAAACAGCATGACCTTCAACAGGTTTGCTCTTCTATTTTCCGGGCCGTGACGGCCTTGCTGTGGGTCAGCATATCCACATATTGATGGTCCCTCCTGGATTTGGTTGGCGCCTTCTGCTCTTTCTTTTAAGTTTTGTTGCGAAACCGCCTGATCCTGGAGCTCTGAAAGACCAACATGTTTCTGCTTCAAGGATCTTGGGTCTGGCAGGTGAATTATTTTGCTCCAGGTCTTGCAAACTGGAGGACAGTGAGAAAATGTAAGGTTACAAGATACAGATGTAAGGCTTACCAAATGGGGTTGGTGATTACTTCTAGCCAGAAGGAAACAAATTGGTTTTGCAAATACTTACCTCTGATTTAGCAGTTTTTAGGCCTCAATGCAGGACGCCATAAACAAGATTAATCCATGCTCAAATGGATTAATCCACATTGAAGGGGTCATTTTACATAAGATGCGTCATCCCTAAATTAAATCATTAAAAGCCCAAATTTCAGCTACTCATCCAGAACTCTTTTTATAGTCTGTGGAAAGAAATGGTTATATCCAGAGAGCAATTCATCCTTCAAGAAGAACCTGAGGAGGTCAGATGAATTGCCCTCCACAGGTACCAGTGCCTGCAAACATGGCCTAGGGTGAGCGACTCAGATTCCTCTATCTAGAAGTTCGATGCGCAAATTAAGAAAGATGAATCCAGCCTACCACCTCTAGATGCCATAATTTCCGACGCGGTTATTTTACTCCTTGTTGTCCTCAGGTATCCCATCACTTACTGGTACGTGGCAGGGTTGGGCAGCGAGAGGCAGGGTAGGAGAAATGGTATCCACGGTTTGCGGAAATGATCCCACGTTTCGATACATATTCACAAAACTCCCATTAAATGATGATGCTACGTATTCAAAAAGCTTCACCAGCTATAGCAATGCTACCCTGAAGCTTTTATTGAATGAGCCTACTGTTCAATGGCCCAGCATAGCACGATGGATCCCCTTGGATGTACAACAGATAACTATGATCCAAGTAAATTTTAGATTGAGTTAAGTTCATTGCTACAGGGCAACTACAGTATTAAACCCTGTTTCTGTTCAAGCCAGTTTCCACACAGCAGCACATTCCCCTTTCTGTAACAAGTCACTGTGTTTAAGATTGAGGGGCAAAAGTTTAAATTTCAGATGGCCATCCCATAGTCCTACATGAAGACTACTCAGCCAGAAGGGTCCTGAGGTCTGGCACCACGCACCAAACTCATGTTGGGCAAGACCGGGTACAAGAGCCGAGTCTACTGCAGTTCAGGTTTGCCATGGGAAAAACAAGTAACGAGGTTTTTGTAGTTACCCAAAAACTGTGCCAGTGACTTCAAGGCATTTGGAAAAGGAACATCAACTGTTAAAAAGATGCAGGTTGATGCCAATTTAACTCTTTGGTTTTGAAAAGGAATACCTGAAGTAATCCCAAGGTGAGTTCATTGGGTTATGAGGGCTACTGAGGTATCTAAATAGAGATTTCCTCCATGATTTAACTAAAACAGAGCAGTTGTTACAATAAAGGTTAGAAAGGCTTAAATGGCCCGTGGCAGTTTGTGTAGCACGCTCGGTCCTTGGAAGCAATGATTGCACGATACTCTCTTGCTGGAAATAAACATCTAATCCACAGTTTTAAAGAAATAATCAAGGCTCTGGGATAACTCTAGTGAGCATCGCACTGTGATGAAAACAGGGCGTACTTCCATTTTTTAATTAGAAAAGTAATAGCAAAGATGCGTCAGACCGAAAGCCCGTTCAGTTTCAGGCAGGCCAAACAGATGGAAAACGGGCAACATCAGCTAAATACTTTCTCTAGGCTTCTTCCTCTGCATGCATGCTCCCCTATGCAGCTCC